CACGGGGGGCCGGTGGGGGGGGGGGGGGTGCAGCTGTGGCGCAGGCAGGAGGGCACCCAGGGTAGGCATGGTGCGTGGGTGCCCCAGTGCAGGCTCTGCTGTGTTTGGGCAGGAGGCAGGTTGCCCCCTCCTGCAATGCTCTCCTGTGTCCCCAGTGTTCCCCGCTGGCATCCTGCAGCCGACCCTCTACGACCCCGAATTCCCACAGTGAGTATGGGGCTGGGGCAGGGGCATGGGTGTGGGGGGGTGGGTATCAGGGCAAGGCATGGGGCTAGGGGTGCCAGGACAAGGTATAGGATGACAGGGAGGACATACCATCCTGAGGGCACCATCAGCACTGGCCCCTCCACAAGCTCAGCTCTCCCCACCGCCAACAGGTCCCTGAACTATGGTGGGATTGGCACCATCATCGGGCATGAGCTGACCCACGGCTATGATGACTGGGGCCCCCCCCCCCCCCAGCCCCATGCTGGGGAAGGAGGAGGGTTTGATGGGAGCATCTATGAGGGAGGGTTGAGGGAGGGGGGCAGGACACCTGGGTCCCTCTGCATGACCCATGGCCACGGTTGCCTTGGCAGGGGGACAGTACGACCGGCACGGGAACCTGGTGCACTGGTGGACAGAGACGTCGTACAGCAAGTTCCTGAAGAAGGCACAGTGTATTGTCAATCTCTATGACAACTTCACTGTCTACAACCAGCGGGTGAGACCCCCCCTTGCCAGCCAGGCACTGCCCGGGCATGCTGCCCCACGTTGGAGGGTTCCCCACTGCAGAGGTCTCACTCCCTCCTTAGAGCCAGGTGCCCACAGAGAGAGCATGCTGGTGCCCAGCTCTGAGACCCAACAACTCATCACATGTCAGCCAGGAAATTTCTTGGGCCCCCGGACAGGGGAAACTGAGGCAGAGCCTCGGTGCTGGTGTGGTGAAGGGAGGATGCCTGGCCCGGGGCCATCTCCGCTCACCTGCCCCGTCTCTCTTCTCCTGGCAGGTGAATGGCAAACACACGCTGGGGGAGAACATTGCTGACATGGGGGGACTCAAACTCGCTTACTACGTAAGTCCTTCCCCCACCCCAGGGCAGCATGGCTCCAGCAGGGCCACGGGGCTGCTCCCTGCTGTGGGGAGCAGGCCTGATCCTGCCGGTGAGATGCAGGGGCAGGTTTGGGGTGGTACCCATGCCATGCCCTTGCTCCCCAGGCCTACCAGAAGTGGGTGCGGGAGCACGGCCCTGAGCACCCCCTGCACCACCTGAAATACACCCACGACCAGCTCTTCTTCATCGCCTTCGCCCAAGTGAGCCTGCACCTTGGGGGTGGGGGGGGGGGGGGCATGCACACGGCACGTGCTGGGGTGAGGGATATCCTGCTGGAGAGGGCAAGGGGGCACTGGCACCCTGCTCCCCACGGGCACAGCCGCCCAGGCCCCCAGGAGACCCTACAATAACAAACATGCCCCCATGCTCTCCCAACCTATCTTTACCAAACACATGCGGCCCTTGAGCTCACAGGAGACCCTACACTAACAAGCACAGCCAAGGGGTCATTGCCCTAATCCTCCGGCAGCCCAGGGCTGGCGTGCCCCATCGGGTGCCCCCGGCCTGCTCACCACCCCCCCCCTTCTCCCCCCCGCAGAACTGGTGCATCAAGAGACGATCCCAGTCCATCTACCTGCAGGTGCTGACGGACAAGCACGCCCCGGAGCACTACAGGTACCTGGCCCCGAAACGCGGCACGGCGTGTGCCAGCCTTGCCCGCTGCTAGCAGTGCCACTGCAAACTGGGGAGGTGGTGAATTGCCCCCTTTTGGGTGCTGGGGAGAGCAGGAAAGGGTTAAACCTGCAAGCTTGGGGTGGGCTTGGCTGGGGCAGGGGGCTTCGGAGGCCAGTGGGGAGGTGCCGAGCTGGGTAAGGGGGAGTTGGGCAGGGGGCACGTCCTCCCCAGAGCCGGGTGTGTGGTGGTGGCAGAGTCAGGGTCGCGGGTGCCCGGCTCTGACCTGCCCCCCCCCCCCCCCCCCCCTCCCCGCCCGGCGCGGGCG